GCAGGGGGCGAGGGCGGCGGCGCCGCGCGGAGTGGGGCTCCAGGGCCCCGTCCCCCTGCTGCTCCTCGCCATGAGGTGCCGGCCCCCCGCCTTTCCCAGTGCTCCCGCAGCGCTTCCGCAGGGCGGAGGCAAAGGGCGCCGCGCGGGGACGCGGAGCGGGCTGTGCGGGAGGCCACGCGCCGCCGCACGGGCCCGCGGAACGGGGTCTCGGTGCGCGGCCAGCGCCCGCCGGCAAAGTCCGAGCGTTGGTACCGAGTAATCCCGCTGTGGAGCTGCGGGTCGTAGTAGAGCTCTGGAAACTTGGTAGGATGTATTCTGCCAAAATCCTAGCTTGTATCACACCTTAAAATACCTAGATTAAGTGTTCAAAAATTACATGCCCTGCAAGTTCCATATTCAAATATTGTAGTTTTGTAACTCAATCTGTCCTGCTACTACAGTTGCATCTGATTGAAATTCAAATCTCACACCAAAAAATGGGAAAAAAAAAACATTACTACAAAATATGAAGCTCCTATCTAGTGCTGAAGCAGGTTACCTGAGCTTCCTCTCAGTCACGCTTATATCCAAATTCTGTCAGGGCAGCTAATATGCTTCCAGTGAGAAGACTGGGTGCAAAGGAAAGCTGATTACGTGGCTAAATCATAGCCATCCTGCTAAATGTAAACAGCAGCACTCTGGCTCATCACCTGTGTAAACCAGCTCCTTACTGCTGCACCGTCAACGTTAACGCGGCCTCTTCCTGGAAGGAACAGCAGTCCTAGTTAATGTTGACATTTCTGTACTAAGTCCATGGCGCTGTAGTGATGAACGGGCATTAGCAGGAGGCACCTCTGCCCAGTAAGTAAAGACGAGCATCACCCCGTGCTTGTCCTCCAGTCACCCTGGCACAGTGAGGGGCCCCCTCCTGCTCAGGTGGTGGGAACTCATCGTGTCCCCTCTAAACACCAGCCCTGCATTCGTAATAAATACACACATGATGGAACAAGAATCAAGGGAAGAGAGGGAATAGGAGGTAATGGCACTAACTCGAATGTAGATACATTCGATTTACCAGCAATTGCCAACCCTTTTTATACGTACATCCTACCTGGAGCACTGTACCTTCCCTTCTGCCCTGCTTCTTCAGAAATGCCGACCTTTTGCCGCTGGTCATCAGCCTAGAGCTGTTCTCCAACCTCTCTGCCCTCCTTCCCTGCCCAGCAGCTCCCATGTCACGAGCATGGAGACTCAGCTGATGAGCCAGCACACCTTGTTGGCCTAGGTTAGCAGGTACTAACTCACACACCCTGCTAGCTCTGAATACCAAAAACAGGTATTAGCCCAAACAAGTAATTTTTGTACTGGACAATATTCAGCATATGTTTGTATTAGATACAGAGTGAGCACAAAGGAGATGCATCTTAGCTTGAAATGAACCAAGGTAATGCCTTACAGTGATTACTAGCAATAGGGAAGAACTGAGTGGAAGCTGACATTAAGAGCATTCACAACATTTCTGCAGGGCTTGCAATTATTATTATTATTTTTAAACTTAGAAGCATGTCTTAAGAACAACTGATGCTTTCTGACTCCAGTTAGTCTAATTTTGTATTGTGAAATATTGAGGACTTACCCAATACTTAAAGATAATATCAAGCCTTCCTACGATCATTTTACTGCAATAAATATTACCATGGTTCAGGTACCATCAGGAGCTGAGTGTCTAATATAAAAAATAACGGAGCTTATGGCAGTGAAACAAGTTATCTGCAAGCCAGCTCAGGCCCATAAGATGTTTCTGGGGGATGGCAGCAGTGTTGTGCAAATGCAACCCACCTAGTTCTGAACTTGAGGCCCAAAACACTTCCCCATGTTGTGCTAAAGAGCCAGACAGCAAGTACCACTTTCCTACACTACACCTGCTTTCATCTCACCCAACCTGCTATACTCACATGTGAACCTCCGTTCTCCAAACTCTGCTGCTTGGTCAGCCATGGCCATCACCTCACTGGCTGGACAGGCACAGCAAGTGTAGTGGCTGACAGAGTAATGAGTGGTGACTAGACAGCTGATTGCTCACCTTTCCAGTGGAAACACTAATTTAGGTAATTCTCACCTACCAGTCATCCCTTTACAAAGATTGTTTTCTTACAAGCATTGTGAAATACTTGTTCTTCTGTTGAATTTGGATGAACTAACACACAGGCAAAAATTATTGGGATGGGGAAAAGAGATTGTGATCCTATAAACCTGCTTTCCTTAGGGAACTAGGCTAAGGACAAAACAAAAACCACACATGACAGAGAAAGTCCTTCTCTTTAAACTCCATAAAGAAACAAAGCCCAACAGGCCACTTTTCTTTTTTGCAAGTGTCCTTGGAGACCTCATTGCTTTATCTTCTGTTGGGCTAGGTGAAATCCACTAGGGGAACACTCAATGACTCTGCTCATGTACTAAAATGGCCACATCAGGTTAGTACCAACTTTGCCCCCAATAGCTTAGACATTTGTATTTTCAATCAAGATCATAACTAGAACCACATTTGTATGTAGGCGTATAAAATGAACCTTAAAACAAAAAAGCCCCCAAGGCTTCTTTGTTCAACTTCCATTTAAATTCTTGTTTAGACATATTAAGGGTACAGCTTATTATTTATGTAAACTGGATACTGGATTTTACATATGTTTTTTATAAATACTTTGACAAAATACTTTGACATTGACAAAACCCACATTTTCCTCAGCATCAACAACTTAATACACTCTTACTCTACAACAATTCCTAAGTTGTTACTACTACTTCCAGAGCCAAGAGAGTCCCTCAACATAAACTAGGAAAACACAGAGCTAAGATTTCTCATTCTACCAGTCCAACCAAACTCCACTATAAAACCCTTAAAAAACCTCTATTACATCTGAGATGAGTTAGTCCCTAGTGGGTGGGTTACAAGAGAAACTGGCCCTCCAGTATTAGTACATTTTAAAGACCAGTAGCCAACAGGTTAAAAAACAACAAAACTCTCCTGCAAACACGGGTTGCTCCAACATTCCACGGGCAGCGCAACAAAGGAAACGGGGCATTTTGCGCACAGCAGCGGTGGCGAGCTCTGGCGCAGAGCTCGAGGTAGCACTGCCGTGACCCCTGTGCTCGTGCTGCTGCTCACCTTCTGCCGCGATCGAATGGTTAACTAGAGACGTCATTAAACACCCTTGCTATTTTATAGCTTCTCATACTCATTAATTGTACTTCTAGGTTCCAGTGTTTGAGGAGACTCTCAAAGTAACCAGTTTTCTATTTTTCATCCAATGATATCAAACTGATCTACAGTTTCCTAGGCTATTAGTTTTACACTTTTTAAATAGTAAATTCTTTCGGTATCATCCAGTTCTTGGATCTCCTCAAATAGCTTAAAATTTAGGGGCAGTGATTTACCTAGATGTATGACTCTGAAAAGTCCTAATTTTTGACAATGCTATTTAAAGAGCCTTTAGCTGCAGAGGTCTGAATGCCCTGTTTGCTTCAAGGCCTGTTTCACATAAGATAAAGAAGCTCTGTTGCAGTGCTATTCAATGACCTTTTCTAGCGTGAGATACTAAATTTATTTCTTCACACTTCTGCTGAAGATGACAAAAACAGCACTTAAGAGTAAAAGAGCTGAAGTGTGAAGCTAGCATTATTACCATGTGGTCTGAACTGATCTAAAAGATGCTGCTGCCAGGGGAGTGAACTGTCACTTCCTCTCTTTATAACTCTCCTTCCTCCCCGCTTCTGATGACCTGCTTTTGCCACTTACCTTGAGCTAGGGTTGGCGCTCACTTGATTGCATAGTACATTCCCTGAACTCACTAAAAACACTGGAACGCTAATACATTGTTTGCTGCCATCTCTGGTTAACGTGGCTTTGACATCACATGAATGCTAGAGATGCCCTTCTTGCCAACTGTCAAACTCAGCCATACTGTGAAACCAACACTGCGAGGCTGACATTCAGGGATCCTTTGTTCTATGTATGCCTCTGTCAGAAATTACCTTTAGATGTGCCTAGAAAGTCCAAAAGTCCAGAAAGTCCAAAACCCTTTCTCCTTGCAGATCCACATGCTCACTGCTCTGCAGGGTGACCACACTAACACAAGGGATTCTCCCCCCTTTCATTGATCAGATATTTGCATTTTTGCTCTGCCAATCCCTCCGTGGAAAGCTATGCATGGCTTTGCCCTGTTTCTGGGATCACTGGTGGAGAGAAGATCTGTGCGGGTGTGCACCTGGGAGTGGCTATCAGCTGCTCGCAGGCAAACTAGTGTTAATCTGCTAGTGTGTTGTCACTAGCAGATTAAAATTCCATCTAGAGGATCCCAGTGAAAACTCCTGCAAGATTCTGCATGTATCCAATTACTGAATGATTCAGCTTTAGGTAAAAATAACATAGGGCTTTAGTCTATTGAAAGTGAAATGAGACAAGCATTTCTTGAGGAAACTGTGCAGATAAGGTTCTCTGTAAAGACGTTAGCAGTATCATGCTAGTCTGTATTTCTCCACTTCCTGTTCTTCAGAAAGGAAATGCTAGGAATGCCACCCTTCAGAAATTACCTCTGCACTCTGACTCCTGGCATCTTACGTGTATGGCAAAATAAACACTGAATTACTTCTTAGAAAGGAGGAAAAAATGCATTGTAACTTCAAATGTGAAGTTAAAATGACATTAATTGTATATTAAATCACACAATGTTCTTTTTTAATGTTTTAATACACAATGTTGAGGAAGTCAGGCCCTTAATTCATACAGAATTTTCACATATGAGATAAATCAGCTAGATACACACACCATGCCAGGGAAACACAGGCCGATCAATACACTGTGGCCAAATGGTAAAATGTCTGGATTTGTGTAGGACGATCTCAATCTCATGTTAAAGCCCTTCTACCTTGTAGGCATAACTGCCTTGCCTAGTATAAAGCATATTTTCAATAGGTATCATTTTTCAAATGTTCATCAGACACTGAAAGTATTACCCAATATCACAATAGAAAGATATCCTCCCAATTTAGGTCTGTCTTCCAGGCCAACTTTTAGCATTCATCAGCTGGCCTTGGTTCTATATAATCATTTACTCTGACAGGTTCTTCGTGCTGAAGGGCTGTCAGTAGTGCAGTGAGTGGAAAAAACAGACAGGCTACTGTTAGATCAGAGTGAGCCACAGGAGAAGGAAGTATAAAAAGCTACTTTTTGTTTAAGTAAGCTTATGCTTTTAAGGAAACCATTTTAAACTACTGCA